CTATTATGTTTATTGGGAGTTTTTATATTTGTATTAATAATCATCATGATCAAAGGTTATAGGATTTGCTGCAACATTTTTTCCGTCTAAATGATTTTATTCTCTCTCTATCCACCGTCAGACTCACTAAAACATTTAAAAACTTTGTTTGCTTTAAACATGTAACAAAAATAAAGCATAAAATGTGAACTCTAAATAATTGTCATCCATGTTTTCCCTTTTGCTCCCTTGAAGTCAGAACCATGTGTTCGTCAATGTTATATAAACTAGATAATAAGTTTTTTAATGCATGTTTTTAATTATATTTTTGCACATCTTATTTTGAATTATTCCTGTAAATTGAGCTTCAGAAGCAGCAGTTCCAGCTCTTCTTCTCCTCTGGATCCTGCAGAACACCTGACGCCGGCGTGCAGGCCGGCCAGCAGAGGGAAGCAGCAAACAAAGTAAAAAATGCCAGGATGATGCTCTGACTGGAAGGGCTCACTTCCCCCATCGCTGTGGGGGGTTTCACTTCTCTGAAATCATAATATTGTGCAACCAGAAACGAGGCGAAAGAAAACTCGGTTTGTTGTAGTTTCGTAGGAAATRGTGGCAAACGTCAAAACGTAAAAAAAAGGAGGACTTCCTGAACACAACACTGAAATGCGGGTATGCGATCAGTGTAAACAAAACACAACGAGAAGAAACTTGACTCTTGGCTGAGTTAGACCAGCGGTCGTCTGCGGAGGTAAATTARTGTCGAGCGTTTGGACAAGCCAGTCGAGGAATAAAAATAAAATGGAATTTGCAAAACTTCGGCTGTGTTTAACATCACTTTAGCTGCTTCTCTAAACAGATAGCTGCAGCTTGTCACAGGTTTAACTTTAAAATCTTTAATTTATAGACATTTTAATCATCAATAATAGAGAAAAATAGTGGATTTAAGTGGATTTTTTCTTTAATATCTGCACTCCAGGTGATCCGTGTTTTCTGGGGGAGGCGCTTGTTTCATCTCAGCTTCAGAGAACCGGACACCATCTCAGCTGCTCCACGGGAGGGGCAGCGCTCAGTCGTGACCCCCAACCCCCCATATACAAAGCCAGTGGGCCCTCTGCAGATGAGGTGGGGGCTGGGTGGACACAGGGAGGTCTGCAGACCCCACTTGGTCCCATGGGGTCAAATAAAAGCCCCCCGTTCTGCTTCGAGTGGTTTGAAGAGCAGGCGCCACATTCACGAACAGGTTATAAAAATTTTACATCATTTTAGTCAAAAACATCCTCTCTGACGCAGAAACCACTTTAAAAAAGTTATTTTTCTTCCCTTTTTTTTTAAAGACGGCCCACCACAGCTAAGCCCCTCCCACTTCAGGGGCCACGAGCCCGGGGGTCTCTCCACAGAAGCCTGAGCTCCATTGTCTGAGCGCGACCCCGGGGTCAGCTGAACTCACCTCCGCTCGGCCACGACCCATTCAGACGAGCAAGAAAAACATCTGACAAGAGCTGGGATCACTTAAAGCGAGGGGGTGGGCACACACACACACACACACACACACACACACACACACACACACACACACACACACACACAC